GGCGAGAATCGGCCTACTTTACTTTTTTGTGGCATTCATTGGGGGAAACAAACAGAATATAGGCCAGACCCGGTGTTGTGTCAAAATCTGACTCCCCTCTCTGAAAAACATGAAGCTACAATCAAATAAGTTTTTGCAAACTTACTCTGTAAAGCAAGATCTGACATCAGCATATACATCCGATTTATATGTCACCTTTTAAACCTGTATTTGTTGGACGAGTACATTTAAATCAATTTGCACCATTTTGCACCACTTTAATGATGTTGTTTAAGTCGTTTGCTTAGATTTTTTTTTTTGGTCCCACTTTATATTAAGTGGCCTTAACTAATATGTACGTACATAGGAACTAATAGTTTATTACAATGTACTTATTGTGTAAATACATGTATTTACTGTGTACTTATGCTTGATTAAATACATGTATGTAATTACTTCTGTAATTAACTTCTGTAATTACATTTGTAAATACACTGTTGACCATCCCTTACACCTTAACCCACCCTCAAACCTACCAATGCCACCAAACCTGCCCATAACCCTACCCCATCCCAACTCAAGAGCACCACAAGTGTTCTCAAATACATTATAAACAAAGTAAGTACATTGTATTTTTTTTATTTTTTTATGTAAGTGTATAGTAGTTAAGGACACTTAATATAAAGTGGGACCTTTTTTTGTATTTGTTTTGTGTAACTGGCAGAAATGCCTTTAAATAAATGTAATGTGTATTTATATAGCACATTTACTGTGTATGGCCAAACACTCAAAGCGCTTTACAATCATGGGGGGGGGGATGTCTCTCCATACCACCACTAGTGTGCAGCATCCACTTGGATGATGCAAAGGCAGCCACAAGACAACAGCGCCAGTGCGCTCACCACCAGCTACAGACTGATTTCACTCGGCCGCCATTTTTAAAAGCGAAGTCGAAGCTGCGGTGGGAAGAAACCTGGAAGTATCATTGGGAGTTACATAGGAATGTTGTGTACTTGGCTGTATATCTTATCAGTTAAGAGAAAGTGACATACTGTACATTTATAATTTCACCGCCTTCTGGGTGACCCGAAGGTCCGTTCTGAATGAATGGTGAAAATAAAAAGGGATATTAGAGCTCATTTTCAGCTAAGTTAAGGGAAATGGCACTAGTTAGCTACTGTTTTCTTTCCCAAACACATGTTTAGATGTAATTTATCAAACTCGAGTTATTAAACTGACTCTTTCACTATATTAGACTTGTCACGATACTGAATTAAAAGAAAAACCATCAATTAACATTGCTAACATCAATTAACACCCGCTAACATTGAAGGCAATGTTGATGGCATTCTTAAACAGCGCTGACTTGCCATTGCGTTCACGTGCTCATCAGTAATGATTGTGATTGGCCGAGAAGGTCATCAGTTCACCCACCGCTGTTTACCGAGCACAAACACAGACGAGCCGAGCGATCTGCTTGATGACTCGACTGATCTTCACGGCTGCTTCGCGCTGCAGTCTCTGTATCTGTGCTTGCACTGGGTGAAGAGCGGTAAACTGAGTGCAAACCAAACACAGATACACGGAGACTGGAGTACGAAGCAGCCGTGAAGATCAGTCGAGTTATCCGCACTCAGTTACGTTTTCATGTTAGCGGGAAATAGATGGTTTTTAAAACATCAGTAGCAGGACAACACTATTACAGACAACACGAGGATGTGCTACAGAGGACTGCAGTGTTTTATTGCTCACCAGGTTACACAGGCTGAAGCAGGAAAGCGTCCCCACGGTGTTTAACTGGTGCCATAAACTGAAGCCCAGGAGAACACTTAAGTGTATCACTGAGATTGTGATCTTGTTTGATGTTAATTGCTTTTAATTGTTTAAATTAAACTTACTGAACAATGTTAAAGTGATGTTTACACCCTTTCTGCATTTTGAAATCTCGGCAAAGCTGGAGGTTTTGTAGGTTTGTAGTCCACAGCATTGCAGTTACTGCAATGTTTACAGTGCTGGTCCTATACTTCCGGGTTTCTTCCCACAGCAGCCTCACTTTGGTTCTTTAAAATAGCGGCCGCTTAAAGTAAGCATATTGGTGGAGTGGCGAGACAGTGATGGAGCCAATTCGGTTGATGAGGATGATTGGGAGGCCATGATCATAAGGGCTGATTGAGGGACCTGGGCCAGGACACCAGGGTTACACTCTGGATGAGTTGTGCAATTAATTGAAAATCCGGTTTCGATTTTGATTGTGGCTTCTAATGATAATGAAAAAGCATTAATCGAGATGAGTAAGTAAGTAGAGAAAATATAAATAGATCAAATTAAAAATAAAATAAATCAATGAATAAATAAAAAAATAATTATTTAATAATTTAGTAAATTAATTAAAATTGTATAAACCAAAAAGGAAAATTAATTAATTAATAAAATAATTAATCACAATAGAATAAAACAAAGGAGAAAAAAGGAACAAAATAAAAACACATCAAAATTTAAACCATGAAATAAGAAAACAAACTAATAAGTAAATAAATAAGTTAAATAATTAATCAATTAATAGCTTATTTTATTCAAATATGATAAACAAAGGAAAAAAAAAACAAAAGAAAATAAAAACGTCAAAATTTAAACCATGGAAATAAAACAAATAGATAAATAAATAAATAATGCTTAGTCCTTTTATTAATCTGGGGTTGCCACAGCGCAATGCCTAATTACCTAATAAACAAACAAATTAATTAATTAATTAATTAATTAATTAATTAATTAATTAATTAATTAAAAAGATAAAACAAAGGACAAAAAAGAAAACAAATGTAAACTATAAAAAACAAACCAACAAACAAATACACAAATAGGCAAATAAATAAATAATAAATAAGACCAAACAAAAGCAGAAAACAGAACAATATAAGAGCACATCAAAATTTAAACCATGAAAAAGAAAACAAACAGGCAAACAAACAAACAAATAAATAAATAACATAAGATAAAACAAAAATATATCAACATTTAAACCATAAAAAAACAAACAAACAAACTAATAAATTAACAACAAAATAAAGCAAAAATAAAAACACATCAAAATTTCAACCATGAAATAATTAACGAACAAACAAAATAAAGCGATCGCATTTACTGCTGTCCGTCCCTTCACTGCTCATTCTGCTGTTCAGCTTGATTAGGTGACATGAGTGGATCAGCTCAGTGTGTGTTATTAGAGATGAGTGACGGAGCAGCAGTTTGTATCATGACTGAGGGTCAGCAGCGGGTCAGTGAACAACACACACACACACACACACACACACACGCACACACACACACACACACACACACACACACATGTACCCTTCACTCACTGACCCACTTCTGCTCATTCATGTGTGTGGTTGTGGAAACTAATAGACTTAATGAGATTCGACTGTCACACATTAAGATACGGACAGGTCTCAAAACAGTTACTTCATTATTGCAGCAGAAAGTTAATGACTAAAAACAAACACTTGTTGCCGAAGGACTGGAGGCTTTATCCATAAACAGTTTTAGCAGAACACCTTTGAGGTAGATTTGGAGAAGCACAAAGTTATTAAGGTGACTAAAACATTTGGTTGGCTGGTTTACCTCAGTTTACCGCCAGAGACTTGCAGGATGAGCAGGTGAATGTGGAACGTGGAGAAAAGATTATAAAGAAGAAGAAGAAGAAGAATTTAAAGAGAACTTTAAAGATTGCTCACTATCACTTCGTCCCTGATTTAGTAGTGGTCACCACAGCGGAAGGAACTGCCAATTACTTTGACATATTTTTTATGTGGCTGATGCCCTTCCAACCACAACCCAGAAAGAAAGATAGATAGATAGATAGATAGATAGATAGATAGATAGATAGATAGATAGATAGATAGATAGATAGATAGATAGATAGATAGATAGATAGAAAAAACAATAGATAGATGAATGGACATATAGATGGATGGATGGATGGATGGATGGATGGATGGATGGATGGATGGACAGACGGACGGAAGGATAGAAAGTAAAGAAGGAAGGAAGGATGGATGGATGGATGAATTTATAAAAAATGATGGATAGAAGGAAGGAATGGAAGGTAGGAAGGACTGAACGACAAAGAAATATATGGAAGGAAAGATGGATAAAATAGATAAGAAAAGAAGGAAGGAAGGAAGGAAGCATGAATAGATAGATGATGGATGGAACAGAAAGAACAGAAAGAAAGAAATATGAAAGGAATGAAGGTAGGATGAACTGATGAAATAGAAAAATGGAAGGAAGAATGGATGGATAGAAGGAAGGAATGAAGGTTGGATGGAAGGAAGGATAAAGAAACAAAGAAAAATAGAAAAGAACCAAGGGAGAAAGGACAGAAAGAAAGAAAAAAGAGGGAAAGAATGAATGATGGATGAATTGATATATAAAGAATGATGGATAGAAGGAACGAATGCATGGATGGAAGGTAGAAAGGACAGAAAGACAAATAAAGATATATGGAAGGAAGGATGAATGAAATAGATAAGAAAGGAATGAATGAATGAAGGATGAATAGATAGATAATGGATGGATGGAACAGAAAGAACAGAAAGAAAGATATATGGAAGGAAGGACGGATGAAGTAGATAAGAAAGGAAGGAGAGAAAGAAGGAAGGACGGAAGGAAGGATGAATAGATGGATGAAAAAGATAAAACATAGAAAGGAACAAAGGAAGGAAGGACAGAAAGAAAGAAAAAAAGAAGGAATGATGGATGGATGGAAAGAGAGAAGGATGGACGTATGGATGGAAAGGATAGATGAAAATTGATAGATAGAAATGAAGAAAGGAAGAAATAGATGAATGAAAAAGATAAACAAAAAGGAACGAAGGAATGAAGCATAGAAAGAGCGAAAGAAAGATATATAGAAGGTGGATGGATGAAATAAATAGAAAAAAATAAAAGAAAGGAAGGCTGGATGGATGGATGGACGGATGGAAAGAAGGATGGATGGATGGAAGGATGAAGGGAGGATATGTAGAATGTAACAAACAAACATTACATGCTTTGATACTTATCTTTTTGGTTCCTTGCGGGGTCAAAAGCAGTGGTCGCAATGTTACTACGAGCCACTAGGCTGCGCTAGAGGGGAGTGATGACTGGATATTTTCCAGGTCACCACAGAGCAAGTGAGTTGTGTTTGGTAGAGGGAACAGCATGGTGAACTAAATCTACCGTCTCACTCTGCTTCTGTCATCTTTAAGAACATTATTGTTGCTGCTCAGATGTGAGTATTGAATAAGTGTTAAAGTTTGAGAGTATTTTCCATATTTAGTTGGGATTTACCCTATGTTTTTTCAAATATAGGCATGGACCTGTTGTTCTGGAGGTTCTCAGATGTGGTGATTGTTGATACATACATTCAATGGACTACATGGTGATCGTTGATTGGGTTTCAGCAAACTTTATGGTCATCAATGGTTTTTCCAGAAAGTGTGGAACATCGGCGGGTGAACTATATTCTTAGACGTGGAATGACACGGTCAGTGACTCCGAATTTCTCATTGCTCTATCCTATTTCCCAGAGAGAGGTTGTAGATATCATTGCATTGCACTCAATCCATCTAAAAATAGTCACCTCACCATCTATATCAATTAAACAGATTGTGTTCTTTCGATGACTGCTTAGTTGTGTATGTTGATTGATTTTTATTAGTGTGGGCTACATTTATGTGTGGAAAAACTAAACAAGAAGGAAAGAAGAAAAAAAAACAGGCCTGTGAAGTTCTGAAATTTCAGTATGTTTGAAATTGAAATTCTGTGAACTCCCTCAGTGTCACATCTTACACACATAGAGGTGTTACAAGAAGACTGATGGATAGAAAGGACGGAACAAAGGAGGGAAGGAAGGAAAGATGAATGGATGGATAAAAAAGATAAAGAACGAACGAAAGAAAGAAAGAAAGGATGGATGGAAGGAAGGAAGGAAGGAAGGAAGGATGGATGGATGAAGGAAGGAAAGAAGGATGGGTAGATGGATGGTTGGATGGAAGAAAGGAAGGATGAATGGATGATAGAAGGAAAGAACAACAGAAAAAGAGAAAGAAAATATATAGAAGGTAGATGGATGAACAATAAAGAAGGATATATTGAAAATCAATTAATAGAAAGGAAGAATGAAAGAAAGGAAGGATTGATAGATGGATGGATGAAATAGATAAAAAAGGAATGAAGGAATGAAGAACAGAAATTAAGAAGAAAGGAAGGGTGAATGGATGGATGGATGGATGAAAGGAAAGACGAAAAGAACAAGAGAAAGATATGTAGAAGGTGGATGAAATAGATCGAAAAAAAGAAAGGAAGAAAGGATGGATGGATGGAAGGAAGGATATATAGAAAATTGGTGGATAGAAAGGACGGAAGGAAGGATGAATGGATGGACAAAAAAGATAAAAAAGGAAAAGACAGAAAGACAGAAAGAAAGAAAAAAAGGAAGGATGTATCATAGATAGATGGATGAATGGATGGATGGATGGACAGATGGAAGTAAGCAAGGAAGGAAGGAAGGAAGGAAGGAAGGAAGGAAGGAAGGAAGGGAGGAAGGATGGATTGATGGAAGGAAGCATATGGAAAAGTGATGGATAGAAAGGAAGAATGGAAGGAAGGATGGATAGATGGATGGATAAAAATAGAAACAAAGAAAGGAACGAAGGAATAAAGGACAAAAAAGGAAGAATGAAGGAAGTATTGATGGATTATAAGAAAGAAAGACAGAAAGAGAGAAAGAAAGATACATAGAAGCTGTATGGATGAAATGAATAGAAAAAAAGAAAGAAAGAAAGAAAGAAAGAAAGAAAGAAAGAGGGAAGGAATGGTATACAGGACATTGATGGATATAAAAAAATGAAGGATGGATGGGAGGAATGAATGATGGATAGAAGAGATAGACAGACAGATAGATAGATAGATAGATAGATAGATAGATAGATAGATAGATAGATAGATAGATAGATAGATAGATAGATAGATAGACTGTAAAAATGATATGAACACAGTGCTGACAGCATGTTTTTAGTTCATTGTAACTTATAAATTAAATGAATCATGTTCTTATTGTATAAGTTACACACAATGTTTTACGTCAGTTTAACTTAAAATAAATTCAGTGGACTCAAAGTTATTTTGATTCAGCTTAAAAATGTAAGGCAACCAGCATTGTTTTACAGATAGATTGTTACAGATACACAGTTGAATCTTGCTCTCCTGCACAGGTGTGTTGTTGAGCTGCAGGTAATGTGATTGTGAGAGTTTGATGGCTGTCATTGGATCAATCTGCTGAAGCATGTCGAGGGAAAGACGAGCGCGCAGACTCCGGTTTCTCACAGTAATTAGCTTTCCCAGTCACTAATTACCTGCACGCATTACAGGGATGATTGACTGTCATTTAAGCATTTTAATCTGGATAATATTTGCAGGAATAGCAACTATTTGTCAGGCAGATTAACATACGTCTTCCATGCGCAGATGGGGGACTGATGAATCTTGATTTGGTGATTTCCCCATCATCTCCTCGGGTTTTTGGGATTGATTATTCAGTATTTTTTGATATCGGCTGAGTCTGGAATCAGGGCTGGTGTTGACTGATGAATGTGGGGTAATAATGCACTTCTACTCTGTGTTTCTCCTCAGATTCCTGTGCTGCTTTACATCGAAGTTTGGGTGCTTAACCCTTATTATTTATTCAACCAGGCAGGCTCGGGTTTGATGTCAAAAGTGTCTTAGATAGAAAGAAAGAAAGAAAGAAAGAAAGAAAGAAAGAAAGAAAGAAAGAAAGAAAGAAAGAAAGATTGAAGTTTAGACAGACTGGCGGAAAGAACAAAAAGAAGGAATAAAGGATGGATGGATGGATGGATGGATGAAATAGAAAAAAAGAAAGGAATACAGAAAGGACGGATGACATGAAAATAGGACAGAAATAAAGACATATGAAAAGAAAGAAGGGTGGATGGATGCATGGATGAAATAGAACAAAAGATGGATGGATGGATGAAATAGAAAGAGAGAAAGAAAGAACAGAAGAAAGGGATGAAGGAAGGAAGGAAGGAAGGAAGGAAGGAAGGAAGGATGGATGGATGAAATAAATAGAAAAAAGAAAGAAAGAAAAAAGAAAGAAAGAAAGAAAGAAAAAGAAAGAAAAAGAAAGAAAGAAAGAAAGAAAGAAAGAAAGGAAAAAAGGAAGAGAGTAAGGAAGGATGGATGGATGAATTGATGAAAGGACGGACGGATGGACAGACGAATGGATGGAGGGTGAAAGGAATGAAAGAAGTAAGGATTGATGAATAGAGGTATGGATGAACTAGATAGAAAAAAGAAGGAAAAAATAGAAGGACGGAAGGAGCAAAAGATGGATGGATGGATGGAGGGAAGGAGAGGTGGATAACTGGATGAAGGATAGAAGGAAGGATGGATGAAAAAAATAGAAAAAAGAAAGAAAACATAGAAGGGAGGTAGGGAGGAAGGAAGAAAAGATGGAAGGAAGTATGGGTGGATGAATGGATGGAAGGATTAATTGATGGATGGAAGGATGGACTAATGGATGCATGGAATAAAGAATGAATGGAATGAAGAAAAGAAGTAAGGAAGGAAAGAATGAAGAAAGGAAGGATAGATGAATGGATGGATAGAAGAAAGAAACAAAGAAAGAGGAGAAAAGATGGTTTGATGGATGGATGGATGGAAGGAAGGAAGAAAGGAAGGATGGATGGATGTATGGATGGAAGGAAGGAAGTAAGGATGGATGGATGGATGGATGTATGGACAGTAAGATATGTGTAAGGAAGGCAATATGGATGAATGAAATAAAAAAAGAAAGGAATGAAGAAAGGAAGGATGACATGAAAGTAGGACAGAAATAAAGACATGGAAAGAAGGAAGGGTGGATGGAAGGACAGAAGGAAGGAAATATGGATGAGTGAAATAGAAAAAAGAGAGAAGAGAAGCAAGGATGGAAAGAAAGATGAATGGAATGAAAGTAGGACAAAAAGGCAGAAAGAAAGGTATGTGGAAGGAAAGAAGAAGGGATGAATGCATGGATGAAAAAGGAAAAAGAAAGGAAGGAAGGTCGGATAGGTGAAGGATGGATGGTTGGATGGATGAAAGAAAGGAAAGAAGGACAGACAAAGAAAGAAGAATGGATGGATGAAATAAATAGAAAAAAGGAAGGATATATTGATGGAAGGATGGATAGAATGAAAGTAGGACAAAAAGGCAGAAAGAAAGGTATGTGGAAGGAAAGAAGAAGGGATGAATGCATGGATGAAAAAGGAAAAAGAAAGGAAGGAAGGTCGGATAGGTGAAGGATGGATGGTTGGATGGATGAAAGAAAGGAAAGAAGGACAGACAAAGAAAGAAGAATGGATGGATGAAATAAATAGAAAAAAGGAAGGATATATTGATGGAAGGATGGATAGAATGAAAGTAGGACAGACAGAATGACAGAAAAGAAAGGTATATGGAAGGAAGGAAGGATGCATGGATGAAATAGAAAAAAGGAAGGAAAGACAGAAAGAAAGAAGAACTGATTAAATAAATAGAAAAGAGAAAGGAAGGAAGGGACGGACAGATGGAAGTAAGGAAGGAAAGAAAAAAGGATGGATGGATGAATATAAGGAAAGATAGAAAGGAAGCTATATGGAAGAATGACGGGAAGGAAGGAAAGATGGATGGATGGATGAAATAGAAAGAAAGAACAGAGGAAAGGGAAGAAGGACGGAAAGATGGATGGATGAAATAAATAGAAAAAAGAAAGAAAGGATGAAAGGAAAAAGGAAGAGAGTAAGGAAGGATGGATGAATGGATGAAATAGATAGAAAAAAGAAAGAAAAAATAGAAGGAGGAAAAGATGGATGGATTGATGGATAGATGAAAGGAATGACGGGCGGATGAATGAAGGATAGAAGGAAGGATGGATGGATAAAATAGAAGGAAGGAAGAAAAGATAAAAGGAAGGAAGGAAGGAAATATGGATGGATGGAAGGATGGACTGATGGATGGATGGATGGAAAGATGGACTGATGGATGGATGGAATGAAGAATGGATGGAATGAAGAAAAGAAGGAAGGAAAGAAAGAAGAAAGAATGGATGGATAGATGGATGGATGGAAGAAAGAGAAAGAAAGAAAGAAAGAAAGAAAGAAAGAAAGAAAGAAAGAGGAGAAAAGATGGTTCAATGGAAGGAAGGAAGGAAGGAAGGAAGGAAGGAAGGAAGGAAGGAAGGAAGGAAGGAAGGAAAAAGAAATAAGGATGAATGGATAATTGGATAAAGGTAAGAAGTAAGGGAAAGATGGATGGATGGAGGGAAGGAATGAAAGAAGGATGGATGGATAATTGGATAAAGGGAAGGAGTAAGGGAAAGATGGATGGATGGATGGATGGATAGATGGATGGATGGAGGGAAGGAATGAAAGAAGGATGGATAGAGGGAAGGAGTAAGGGAAGGATGGATGGATGAAGGGAAGCAATGAAAGAAGGATGGATGGAGGAAAGGAGTAAGGGAAGGATGGATGGATGAAGGGAAGGAATGAAAGAATGAATGGATGGATGAAGGGAATGAATGAAGGAAGGAAAAGCAAAAGAGCACCTTTTTGGTGCTTTAAAACTTTCATACAGACAAAAGT